CACCCCTATGATGGGGGGGGGGGGGGGGTGACGTGTTTGAGTCTCAGGGGTAAACAGTGATGCAGCCAAGGCGACGTAATGAACCAACAGAAAAAACACAACGTGCCTCCATTCTGCCCGTGTGGTGTCATCAAGTGTCCACAAGCCCCGAAATTCATTTTGGACTGGACACGGCCTCATTTACACCAAGTTTTCAACTCAAACACTTCACCCCCCCGCCCTGTATTTTCGTTTGTGGTTGAACTATCCCTTTGTGCTGTATGTTGACGACAGATGAATGGAGCAGCGCCTCGTAACGACCGTGTCAGGTATAGACAGCTCGTCGTCAGAGGCATGAATGTGAACAGCGGCCGTCCACGCCGCTCATCTGTCCCCCAACATGCCGGCGGAGCTCAGCTCTCCTCGGATTGGCTGGCTGGTTCTCTTACCGGTCTTTGAGGTCCAGTGGGTTCCGACTCTCTCCGACGGGGGCGTCCCGATGGCAGCGAGTGACAGGGTGACTGGGCGGGGCTCCCACCACTCCTCCTCGACGCCTCCTCCTCCGTTAGCGTTAGCATCCCTCGGCTGCTTTCCCGGGTGTGAGTCTTTGGACGAACCACCAGTTCCCCTCCTGCAGAAGGAACAGGGTGTAAAGCGGGTGGTGGTGGCAACGGACTTAACTGAACGTAAATGTTCACTAGATTACTTCGTGTTTTGTGATTTGGTTTTGGGACTCCAAGAGGTTTGCGTCAGCTTAGAGCAGAACCATGTTGCTAGCTAGCCTTCTGGCGTAAGCAGAGTCTGTTACCTGCTGCCCTGAGCCTCCTCCGCTCCTCCTGCTCCTCTAGGGGACGCAGCTCCTCCGGCTCCTCATCAGTCGTCCCTGAAGTGGTTGGTTGGAAGTCTCGTAACTCCGTCTCTTTGTCGATGATCACCCACTCTTTACTGTCAAAGTCCTCTTCCTCGGCCAGTGGTACAGAGCGGATGAAAGCGTTGCTGTGCGCCTCCTGGTCGACGGACGCCACCGAAACCTCCTGGCGACCACTGACCTGTCGATCCCCGCGGCAACCAGGGTCGATGGACAGCATCTGTGCAGGTTGGGAGGAGTAGACGTGACGAGAAGGGGAGCCGAGGATGTCCATCCTAGACCTGGAGGACACAGACATGAAGAGACAATTGTTACTCTTAATTTGCTGAAGACAGTGAGGACAGTGTTTTCAGAATCTAAATGAAAAGTGAAACCTCCTGCAGTGCAACAGATTAACGTCACCTCTGTCCGTAGCCGTCGACCCGACCCTCGGCAGCAGACAGCCGGTCAGATTCAGGGCTGTTGACCCGGCGATACCGTAAAGACCGACCCTGACCTGTCGGTGACTCTGGAGCTCCGCCTCGAACTGGCGATACCGGACACACCGCCCGACCCACCTCCTCCTCCTGAGCCCCCTGAAGAACGACAGCATGACAGAAATAATTCATAGTTGACTTTTACTTGTCCAGTGACTGATTACACCAGCACAAACATCCAGCTCACAACCAACACTGGACACTTCAGACCTTGTTCAGGCTGATCCTGAGTCTGTTGCGGTTGAAGTCAGTGTCCTCCCAGGCTTCTCCCGTCTCTCCGGTCTGCTGGACACCCGTCTCCCCAGGGGGTCGACTGGGTGGGGCCGGGGGGGCGTTCTCCTGATCACTGAGATGTTTGTCCTGCAGAAAATCATCTGTGTTCTCCCGCTGAAGATCTCCAGGAACTGGCGTCACGATGGCTCTGTGGAGCGGTAACCGTCCGTACGCAGGTGTTAGAATGTGTCGTACGCTTTATTTATTCTGCTCGCTTCAACAAACAGTCGACATCATTTACTAAGACACAGTCAGACTGATGTGAGAACAGTTTGAGGAATAGTTTATTAATGCCTGTCTTATTTTGATAGTCTGGGGTCTTATTTTGATAGAGATGCGGGAACGCAGCGACATCAAGTTAAACAGTGTCGGACATTATGCTGAATAATAACGCTCAGCTCTGGTTTTGCAGGCGTCACTAATCGTGGTTTGGTTAATTGGTTCTTACCCCACCATGGCGGCGGTGGGTCGGGTGTTGTGCTGTGGTTGGGTGGACGCACTGGTCGACAGCGTGACGTCGCCCCCTCCCTTCTCCCAGTCGAAAGGCTCGTTCTCTGTGATGATTCGCTCCTTCATGCTGTTCTCGAACACCGACATCAGCAGCTGGACAGACAGAAGAGACAAACTCGTTAACCTGAGGTAAGGACGCGCCGCAGGCAGACCGCCCAGTCCGTCTTACAGTGTGTACCTGGTAGTCTGGTTTGGTGTAGTAGTCCAGGGCCAGGACATGGTCCAGGAAGATATTAAACTCTGAAGGCATGTGTTTGAGCAGCATCCGATGGTCGTACCGCTCCTTGATCTGACCGACTTGTTCCTGGAATAAAAAGAACAAAAAACACTCTCAGCTGCAGCCGAGGCTTTATTTACAGTTTGTGATATTTCATCTACAGCAAAATAACAATCAACTCGTGAAAATGAATTTTCAAGACACATTGAAAAAAACAGATTCAAGTGGAATATAAAGGCAAAATCAAGAGCTTTAAGAAACACTGCCAAAATAATTCAGAACTCAGAACTAACTTCAGAATTGACTGAGAAATAACTGTAACGCCACCTGGTGTTCACAAGTCACAGTTGTGTCATTTAGTTGTTGACCTGTTGTTTGTGTGTGTGGAGTTAGTTCTCGATGGCGTTACCTTATCTTTGATCTTTCGCCATGGCAACTGTCCTACAGCGAACTCCACCAACATGTAAAACAATGACCACAGGTCATCATGACGACCCATCTCCTGGAGGAGCACACACAGCGGGAAATGTAGAGTCTGACGATGACGCTTCTGATTCAGCGGTTTAAGGGAAGTTCTGTGTTTTTGATCCACTTTTTTTCCGATGATTTTTAAAGTGCGTCAGATATTCGAGTTAAAAACATTTAAAAAATACGTCATTAGATTTGTGAAAGTCTTCGATGGGACATTCTCATCATTTGTCAGCAACAAACAGGGATTCTTCTTTGGAAGT